TTACTTAATATGTAAATATTTATTTGATTTTGGCGCAATTATTGACACTTGTCTTAATATACAAAATTGGGCCAAAACGAATCAAAGAAATACATAATTACATGTCAATATGGAAATGCCGACGGCAAAACGCAAAGGCATACATTGCACTTACATACATACAAGCAATTTCTTGGTTGAAAGCAAAAATTGGAGCATGAGAAATTGAAATGCCGACGGCTACGCGAAATTGCTTACATTCGTACATTTTATTTTTTTAAAATGACTTATTATAAAATAAGATCAAATTAATATAAAATAATTTAAAAAATAATAAATAAAAAAGTTCTACATACATACATACATACATATTTCCATACAAAATGGAACATATGGAATTTAAATGTTTTAAGTCCTCTGGATCATGGGCATGCATACATATATTTATGCCTTTTCATATTCTCTGCTTGGGCTTATATGCCATGGCATCATATGCCGTATATCATATATTATTTCTCTTCATTTTCTCTGTTTGAGTATGTGAGAGAACTGTTAAAAATGTTAACATTTCACAGCGTGAATTCTGTGGTTGTGAGGTGAATTCCCTATCACAATCTTATAAAATGTTCGACATCGAACCTGCACCTTCTCTATGCTTTAAGTTCTCTGATTACACTACCACTGCATTTTTCACCACAACAAAAAGAGAACAAAAGGGGCGGAGAAACAAATTCGTAGCCACTTCCCTTTGCGATAAGCTATCGAAAGCCGTGCTGTTCACCCCCAGTACCAACTTTTAATATTGTGCCAACATCCAATTTTAAAATTCGAGCAAAGTTATTTTATAGTATACATAAAGTTTAATAAAATACATATTGTGAAATATTTGGCGGAATCGTGTGTTGCCTTTTTTCTTGTAATTCCGAACGGTGAGTGCGAGAAAACTAATCGAAAAATACATGGTTCATCGAGCCTACAGAAAAGCACTATAGAAAAAAAACCAAATTTAAAATTAAAAAAAAAAACATAAAGAGTGCAGAGACATATATAAAAAACGAAATAAAAAGAAAGAAGCTAAATTAAAGTGAAGTAAAAAAGCGCATTGCAGTGACAAAACGGAGATAAAAAGAATTATTATCATACATACACACAAACGAAATTCATTTTTAAAGCAATAACAAATATAAGTATTTGTAATTATATGAACATATGTATGTAATTATATGTTCAGGTGAAAAATATAAAAAACGAAAAACAAGTTTAGAAAAAAAAGAAAAATAAATATTACATAAAAAGTAAGAAATCTAAATCAAACGAACGCGCCGCGTTATAAAAATCTAAGTAATCTAATACATAATTCGGGCGCGATCGGGCTAAAACAGCATATTAACAACACACAACAGGAAGATCGGAACACAAAGGCGCGAGACAACACGACGGGAAAACCGGAGCACACAGGCATAGAGTTATTTTTAAAAAACCTTACTTTTCCCCAAAACCCCTTGAGGCGAGATTAAGTAAGTGTATCGTTTTTATATTTATTATATAATATGTATGTACTCGTACATACGAGTATGTATGATAACCTGTCTCTTATACACATCTAGATGTGTATAAGAGACAGGGTGAATCTCGTAACGACGCACAAAGCTCTCATACATACCTATGTATATACACACATATAAAATATACAATACATTTATTATATTATTCCCTAAACATTTCTCAAAAACTGCGTAACACGATATACGCGTATTTCAATAAGATAGTCGTTAATTCGGAAATAAAAACTCTTATTTACGTAAAAGAGTTTTCAGGTTTTATATTCATCTGAATTTATACTAAAAAATATATTTTACGTTTATTAATTTATTTGCTACTAAATGAGCACAGCCTCTAAGGCTCCAATTTTTAAAAATTCCGAAAATGATTTCTGATGACAAAAGGCCAAGTACACCTGCAGAAGCTACACGCTCGAAACAAGGTGCTACAAAGCAAAAAAGGGGGAAAGATATTTCTTACGCTAAATTCATTTCTGAGAGTGACAGCTTAATAAGATACTGCACTCGATTTTCAGATCATCCCGGAAATTTCAAATCCTCGACTTACGTGAAATATGAAAATTGCCTTGACCAATATGAAGAGACAAAAGCCATGATCTCCGATCAATTGAAGTTAATTAAAGCAATTGCACCTACTCCACAAACGAGAGTAGAGCTGCCACAAATTCAAAGCCAAGAGTTCAGTCATTCATCTTAAAGTGCCAGCATGCGATACAGAAACATTTTACGGAGGTTATGAACAGTAGCCGTCCTTCCGGGACATGTTTACGGCCGTGTACATAAGCCATCCTAAATTATCACACGCGCAAAAATTGTATCACCTGGGATACAAATCCAAAGGTCAAGCAGGCGTAATAGTCAAACAGTTCGCATTAAATGATTACAATTCCAATTTGGCTTGGGAAGCTCTAAAAGAACAATACGAGAATGAAAGAATATTGGTCGACAAACAAGTCACCATATTAATGAATTTTCCAAAAATTCAGAAAGAAACAAGTGAAGAGTTCATAAAACTTCAATCCTCTGTTTCAAATTGTTTGTCGGTTCTATCGACACAGAATATTCCCACAGACAACTGGTAAATATATGCTCCGCGGCATTACTGGAAAAATCTTTGCTTCTGTGGGAGCAATCGCTCTCATCACCAAGAAAATGCCCAACGTGGCAGCAAATGAAAGATTTCTTAACTATCCAAAATGAAATTGGGGAAAGGGTAGATAAAAAAACGGTCAGAACTAAAAACGGTCAACACGACCTAAATCGAAGTTGCATTAGACCGCAAGCTAGTAATAACAACAGTTTAAACAGAAGCTTTTTTAAAAATCAATCGTTCACATCTGAACAAAATAAACTAACGTCATGCGAACTGTGTAAAGGAGGGCATAAGCTAAAATCCTGCGATAAGTTTAAAAAACTTAATATCAATGAAAGGAACAACTTTGTCAGATCAAAAAGACTCTGTACAAACACATTCTCAATAATTGCGAAAGAAAATTGAATTGCGAATATTGCCGTAAAAGGCATTATTCTATGTGGCACTTAAATAACTTTCCCAACACACTTCAAAGTAGCGCTTTCTCAAAAAGAGCCAGCCACGGGTTTAGTTGCAACAGCAACTCCCGAAACACAAAATCCCGAATTTTGCCAAGAGACACCATTCTGCTCCAAGGCATTAAAAACTCAAACGCTGCACAGCGAGATTTAAAGTATGGTACTACTACCCACAGCAGTCGTCTCCATCAAACTCCGSGGAGAACTGTTTAAACTCAGGGCCTTAATAGACCAAGGATCACAAAGATCTTTTATTGCGTCTAGGGCACAAAATAGGCTACTACTGCCTATAAAATTAGCCAATTTTGAAATTACGGGAATGGGCGGAAGAGTATTTCAAAACTGCAATAAAATCTGCAATAAAATCTGCAACATTACCCTAATTTCCCGCCAAGCGGATAAGCGCATTCAAGCAGATGCAATAGTCTTACCGCAACTCCCGAACATGCTTCAAAGCTATCATATAAATAGCAAACATTTTCAAAAGGTTACACACTTAAAGCTAGCAGATCCCAACTGCAAAACCCCCACTCAAATAGACCTTCAATTAGGCAGCGACCTTATATCACAAATCATAATAGAAGGTGTTGAAAAAATTTCGAAAGCACCTCTGGCGCAAAATACTTTTTTCGGTTGGGTCCTAAGTGGACTASTTGCGGAACCAGTCACAACAATGACAACTCAAGTAGAGGAAATCTCAAACGAGTACCTAAATTCACAATTGAGAAATTTTGGGAGTTAGAAGAACTCTCCCCCATTTCAATTACAACACCAGAATATCAGTATTGTGAAGACTATTACAAAGCCACAACTACTAGATCAGATAATGATCGGTATGTAGAACGACTACCTCGAAAACAACAATTTCCAGACTCACTCTCGCACCTCTGCAATACAGCAGTTTCTAAGTATGGAGAAAAATGTACTTAGAAAAGGTGAGCTTAAACAAAATTGTAATGGTGTCTTAGAAGAATACCTCCATTTAAATCACATGGAGGAAGTAAGCCCATGCGAAAAAATCATAAAAGGCAAATATTACTCATTCTACTTGCCACATCATACAGTAGTAAAGCCTGACAAAAAAACCACAAAGGTTAGAGTGGTCTTTAATGTCTCGAGATCCACTAACTCGGGGAATTCCCTAAATGATATTCTATTTACGGGATCCACACTCCAACCAGATTTTATGCTTCTCATATTAAATTGGCGTATATACAAATACGTATTAAATGGGGATATCGAAAAAATTTATCGACAAATAATTGTTCATAAAGATGATCAAGATTTTCAACGGATTATTTTCCGAAAATCTGCCAATAGTCCACTACACGACTTTAAGTTAAAAGCAGTAACCTTTAGCGTAAACTGTGCTCCGTACACTCCACGAACTGGCAGAAGACACAAAGTCAAAATTTCCTCTGGCAACACAAGTGCTAAAAAGGCAGACGTATGTGGACGATATCCTGTCTGGAAGCCACAGTCTTCCACAAGCACACGATACCTTATAACAGGTAATAAATGCCCTTAATACCTCAGGGTTTCCTTTAAAAAGATTACAGCCAATCACCCAAATATTCTAAAAAATATTTCCTTATATTTGAAAAGGAAAGTACAACAAAAACACTGGACATACAATGGAATGCGATATCTGACCGGTTTTCATATATTACAGAGTCAATATCCGCATTATCCGCCATCACAAAGAGACAAATTTTGTCCTCTGTGGTGAAACTTTTCGACCCCGCAGGATGACTTTCGCCAATTATGATACAAGCGAAAATCCTGATCCAAGAATTATGGCTAGACGGAACCGACTGGGACGAACAAGTGAAGCCTCTTCGCTTAGAAAAATGGCCCAGTTTGCTAATAACCTAAAAGACATTTCGCAGATACAAATTCCATGGTGGGTAAACTACTCCCCCGACTACAAAGGGGAAGTACACGGTTTCTGGGACGCCTCGGAAAAGGCATATTGTGCCACTATATATGTGCGCACACAAAGCGATATTGCAACCACAAGCCACCTACTGGCGGCAAAAGCAAAAGTCGCACCCCTAAAAACGATAAGTCTACCACGACTTGAACTCTGTGGCGCTCTGCTACTAAGAAARCTAGTGCTGACAATCCTGCTGATCTAGGTACAAGAGGATGCAAGCCTCTGCATCTCGCCACCTCCACCCTCTGGTGGAATGGCCCCCAATGGTTAGCAGAATCTTCCGATTCTTGGCCCCAATCGCCCATGCGCAACATAATTGCCCCAGAAAGTCGAAAAATCGACACTTATCATACAACCCTGGATGATACTGCCATCCTTGAACGATTCTCATCGTTCCCCCGAGCGCTCAGAGTAGTCGCCTATATACTCAGATTCATAGACCGACTCAAGCATAAAGCTAAAGGGGCAACCTATCCCCAATGCGACACTTTAACTCACCAAGACTTGCAAACGGCAAAAATCGCCCTTATCACATCAACCCAAACGCGCTACTTTAGCAGCGACATATCATTATTAACTGAACTGAAGCCGATTGATAAAAAGAGCTCACTCTTAGTATTAACTCCAAAGGTCTGCTTCGTGCGAATGGTCGGCTGGCAAATTCAAGCCTACCATATAATGAACGCCACCCTAAAATCATACTTGAAAGGTGTCCATTTGACACCTTATTCATCGCATATATCCACATACTAATGCTCCATGCCGAACATCGCCTCATGCAACATATGGTTCGCCAAGAGTTGTATATACCCCGACTTAAGCCAMAAATAAAGAAGTGCATTTTCATGTGCAAGATCTGCATTACGCATAAGCTGAAAATGTGAACCCAGATTATGGCAGCACTTCCACCTAAACGCTGCAATTTCTCTCTGCCCTTCACCACAACAGGTGCCGATTTTGCTGTATCCCCCCAAGCGCCCCTCATATGGGTGGTTTATGGGAATCAGCTGTAAAGAGCTTCAAATCTCATTTCAAGAAGACAGCTGGCAGCTACAAATTTAATTAAGAAGAATTCACTACATTATTAAYTAAAATCGAAGCCGTTCTCAACTCACGGCCCCTCACGGTTCTCTCGCAAGATAACTCCGATTTCACAGCCCTAATAAATATTATAAAATAACAAGCAAAACAACCTAATGGTCGATCAACTTGACGATCCACTTATGCCACAGCGTGGCAGCCATACCCATATCCACTCTATGCAACAAATTTACAATTAATATACCACTCTTCCATACAGATAAACATCGATGCAGACATGTCACGCGTTCCGACGCCAACCATTCGCTCGACTATCCACGTGCCACGCCAAGTGACAGCACCAGTTGCGGCAGCCCCAGTTGCGGCCAGCCCAGGACGTCGACCCGACGCCAGCAACAAATGCCCCGTCCGCGCCGCACCTCCGGCCTAAGCACCGTTGGAGCCACGCTCCAGCAATTGCAACGACTTCTAGGCTGAAATATTCGCTTAGGGGGTGCCAACATCCAATTTTAAAATTTGAGCAAAGTTTATTTATAGTATAAATAAAGTTTAATAAAATACATTTTGTGAAATTTTTGGCGGAATTGTGTGTTGCGAGTGCGAGGAAACTAATCGAAAACTACACCAATCTAAATATCAATTTAATAATATTCAAAAATTAAATTAATTTATAATCCCTTTCGAAGAACATCCAATTAGAAATACATTTATACTTATAATAACTATTTTAACAAGTATATATGTATTCTACAAACTCTATATGATGTATCAAAGAATGAAATACATAAAAAACTATAATCAAGCCCTCACTGACGTCGGCATGCAACATCTTATCAACCCAGAATATAAGCTGTAGATCAGGAGATCTTTTTTTTATAAGACCCGGAGAGTTAATACAAATATCTATCAACCAAAGTACAATTAATACAAAGTACAAACCTGATAAGCGAATAACAAACAGAAACCACGGCATTCCAAAGTCGTCATCAATACACACGACACCAAAACACTTCAGCAAATCACAGATCGATAACACATTGCAAGAAATGCTATATAAAGAAACACAACACAATAATATAGGTTTTTTTTCATTGTACATTGTCATAACTATAAGTACATATTTAATAAATAAAGAAACAGTTCTTCATTGAACACAGACGTGGCAAAAGAAATTTGGCGGGGGCGGCGTCAACACTTACTATAAACACATATACAGTTCACTAATATTAAATATCTATTGTGAAATATATTGAAAATACGTACATACATATGTACATAAATACACACATGAAAATATATGCATTAATATGCAATACGCATGCACTTAAATTTGCAAAAATACAAAAATATTTACTTAAGTTAAGATGTATAACCAATTGATAAGATATGCATTTAGGCAATGCACCTGAAAGTAATCCCAAACAATACAGCATAAAAAATATTATAACATACGCATATACATATATTGCATTATATACTTAAAAACAACTCCATGTGGTGTGCCGTACATACACATATATTTAATTATGTACTTAAGATTTCTGAAATAGTATGTAAGGCTTACAAGCCTCAGCTTGGAAAAGATCTTTATTTTCCTCCAACCAGTGGTAAGAATCTAAAGAATCTTATTTATGTTTTAACGTTTTACAAACCAAACAGTTTGATATTATAATTCAAACACCAAGCAATGAAGTGACTTAGCTTGGGATTGACGTGGATCAAAGGCTCACACGGTGAAAACATATAGCGAGTAAAATAACTTGCATGAAGTCAAGAGCAGTAAATTTAAATTGGCTTTTAAACAAAAATCCTAAACTTAGCCTAGACAATAAAATCCTGTTATACAATGTAATCATAAAACCTATTTGGATTCATTCAACTGTGTGGTACGACCTGTGCAACCAACATTGATATAATGTAAAGGTTACAATCTAAAATTCTTAGAACAATCACGGGTTCACCATAGGACATACATAAAGATCTTGATACTCCTATGATAAAGAAGGATATAGAGGACAGCTTAATAAGATATATTTCTAAACTTGGCGAACATCTAAGTGATAAACCACCCTATTAGAGAGTAACGTTCTGGCAAAAAAGCTCAACCACATTCTTGAACTTCTTTAGTTTTAAATAAATTTTATATTTGAAAACTTTTTGGTAGGCTTTCCCAAGCAGATTAAATAAATAAAAAAATATTGAAAAAAAACAGTCGCAAATACATTAAATACAAAAAACAACTCCAATCTCATAAACCCGCAAAATATGGTTTCTCACCATAATCACCCTAAAACCAAAGTCGGTTTCAGCAATTTCAGCTTGTATTCTGCGACTCTCGTGGGTACGCCCACTTGTACTTAATTATAGTTGTATATCTTATTTTAGTGCATAGTTATAGCACTTTATTGAGTTTCGGTTAGAGGCGATTTGTCATATATGTCAATTGTTAATCAAGTTACTGCTCGCACGGGCGGACGGACGAACAGACAGTTAACCGGGTTTCAACTTTTCTCATCACAATGATTTGAAAAAAAGTTTAAATATATATATTATATATACATATATGTATACGTGATAGATATAGAGTTATACATATATGTATATATATAACTCTATATCTATCACGTTTAATTCTATGTGATACGGACAACCATTAGGTAAAAAAAGGTAGGTAGCAACTGGTTGCAACAGTATAACAAGTTCAGATCAATTAAGTCACTCCACTAATTATAAAATTATTATAGGCACTATGCAGACATTTTCACATTTCTAACAACAGTACTACCACAAAGATAATTGACTACACAAGAGGATATTACATTCTTGTAGAGAAAGAAGATTCCGAAATTTTTGAAAATTACGTTTCAATATACCATTTAACAAATTTAACTTTATTTGATAATATAATAGATAAATATAAAACTAAAATGTATTAATTGACAATTCAAGTGTGGACTTTGAAAGACAAATGATAGGAACATTATTGGACATTGTTCAATTAGAAATTGAATTGATTTAACAGGAAAATGACAAAAACATTTAAAACCATCAGAGAATTAACACAAATAATAAAACTATTACAAGGCAGCTCAAACGAAAATAGTACTTTATGACAAAGAAGCAAACTAATATTTACTTAACATGAAAACACAATACAGACCATGGTATTGTCAAAACTGGGAATTTTGAATACTTAATTTTAGTTATGGTAGAAATCAAAGAAATAATAAGCGAGTTAACGTAACAATATCAGATTTTATGGATGTTATAATAGTTAGTATATACAAGTATTAAATATCCAAAAATACAAAATATTTGTAAGTTGTTTAAAGCAAATTTCATAAAAGGATGAAAAATTACTAATCGATAAATGAAATAATAAAATAAGAATAAAAATTTTATTCAAAAGAAACATATTGAAAAAAAGAATTGAATAACGCATTTTGTATAATAAAAAAAGTAATACTTCATTATCAGATATATGTATATTAAATAATAAATATGTTAACAATAGCCGGAGTATATTTGATAACATTTGAGGTATAAAATTTGATATAAATATTTAAAAGAAATAAAAATTAAGTAATTTTTTGTGAAATAAACTACAAATACATTTAAAATTTATTTAATTTGTAAGATCAAACATTGAACTAAAAAAAAATCTTTAAATTCTTACCGCTGGTAGGGGAAAAATAAAGACCTTTCTTGAGCTAAGAATATATTTATTCCAATTTATGATTTGCATTTTCATTGCTTATGTACTACTATTTTAGGATTCTTATCTCATATATGTACTCGAACTCGTCACCGCTTATGGAAAACGATGCATATAAAAAAATTCAACATGATAACATGAATGTTTACATTTATTTATTCGTTGCGAAAATTCAAATTTAAAAAAAAGAAATTTGGTACGCGTGTGCAAATGTAAAAAATTTTGAATAATGTTAATTTTATGATACATTTTAACCTCACACAATTAGAAAATGTATATATCCATAATTTGAAAAGGTGAGTAAACGAAATATATTTTAATATGATATAGGCGTAGATGGCTTTAGATTATTCAAAAATTCAAACAAGTTGTTATTGCCAATTTTAGCGTCCAGCGTGGATTTTCCAAACGAATTGCAATTTACAGTAGAATGTTTTTTCTAGAACAGAAAAGCCCTGGAATATCCACGATTTCTTATAAAACTTTTGTGAAGAAGTAACTTATTATTCTTCAGGTAGGTTCGTAATAATAATACCCAACGATTACCATACTTCCGCTCAACCGACGCGAAGGGTGCAATCCGCAAAGGAGCGGAATTAAGCGTTGCGATCTTAAGCTGCTCAGCTACAGAAGCAAAAATTTCAACAGCTAAATTTAAGAATTAGATTGAAGTAAGTTTATTATTTTTAAATGTTAGTTGTTAAGAGTAGATAAAATATTTTTTTAATAGTAAGGAGGGAGTCTTTTTGATCAAATGTTCYAGAATGAGAATTTAAATCGTGACATATAGGCGGGAATGGTTCGATTAACTCACATTTTGTTCTAGAACATTTTAAAGTAAAGGTGTAACCTAYCTGTAGGGCACTAAAAGAGGTGGGCTACAGACTGACCCATTGAGGTTTACATGAAATATTATACCAAGCATTTCCCTACGACTAGCGAGAAGATTGATAAGTTTTCAACGGTTRGTGTAAGGGGGAAGGTTTAAACGGGAATCCCAATGCGAATAATTCAAGGCAAAAAGTAAAAATTTTTTTTGAACGGACTCAAACTTTTCCGAGTGGACGTGATAGCTAAGGTTCCAAACCACAAATCTTACTATAATATAGGACTCACCAAAGATGTAAAAATAATTTTTGTAGTAAGCGGATAAATTCTTTACACCAACGTTTAACAAAACTAAGAGCGCCTTTAGCTTTAAAAACCGTTGAAGATGCGTGAAGATTAAAATTGAGTTTATGGACCCCAGTTATTCCCAGATCAACAAAATTGCATACTTTCTCCAACCTAAAGTTTCGTATTACATATGAAGAAGAGATCCACGCGCATCTTTTTAAATTTTTTAATGCTCAATGGCATGTCATTAACACACCAAGAAACTACCTTGTTTATTTATATTTGCAACTGACATCCTTCGTCATTTGAAGTATATGATTTAAAAAGTTTCACATCGTGGGCATATAATTAAACTTTTGAATACTTAATAATGGATGATATGTCACTAATAAATAACAAGAAAGTAACTGTTTAAATGAGTTAAGAATCTACTCACTCTGAATGGGAAAACGAGTTATAAATAAACGTTAAAAGGATTGTGCACTTTACATCCTTACGCATTTTTATTTAACAACAGTGAAAGTGATTAGTGCTTTTATTTGAAAATTTGGCAGAAAATTGTTCAATATATAAAATATATACGTCCACATTCATACGTATATATAAAACAATAACAGTATGTGCAAAACCAAAAAAAGAGGTGACCATTAGTTACAATTTTAAAAGTACAAACAGCAAGAAAGAAATTAGCTTCGTCTTCTTGATTGGCGTAGACACCGCTTATGCGATTATAGCCGAGTTAACAACAGCGCGCCAGTCGTTTCTTCTTTTCGCTACGTGGCGCCAATTAGATATTCCAAGTGAAACTTATAGAGTTTGGTTTTTGTTTTTCGAGAGAGGACTTTGCTTCTCAATTGTCTACTCAGTCCGAAGTAGCACCTGTTGGCAAGAGTTATCCTGCGTTGGATTTCT